AGTGAAATAAAGTCATCCATCCCCCCCCCATCACCCCCCTCCCTGCCCCCCCTCCCACACACACACACACACATGCACAGGTCAGGAAAACAGTGAGATAATCTGTGATAATCATATTCACAGAGATTCTCCATTAAAACCTGCTGATGCAGCAGTACCAGTGATGCACCAGTACCAGTGATGTACCAGTACCAGTGATGCACCAGTACCAGTGATGCAGCAGTACCAGTGATGTACCAGTACCAGTGATGCACCAGTACCAGTGATGCAGCAGTACCAGTGATGCACCAGTACCAGTGATGCAGCAGTACCAGTGATGCACCAGTACCAGTGATGTGCCAGTGGACAGAGTGGCAGGAAACAGGCCGGCAGATTTGATCAGCTGTACTTAGCAGGCTAACAAAGCTAACAAAGCTAACAAAGCTAACAAAGCTAACAAAGCTAACAAACTAACATTAGCTGGATGAATTGGCTAAAAACGTGACTGCAGTTCTAGTCCCTGATTCGCTCCTGAAAATGTGACATGCTAACATGCTACAAGGCTAAAGCTAAATATCTAGTGGAGAAAATAAGCCTAACTCCATCATCATTATCATCATCTTCTTCATCTTCTTCAGGAACATGTGACCTCAGTCCATCCCAGAGCAGAGATCCTTCAGGTCAGACTAGAACCGTCCGTCCAATCAGAGCTCTCTGTTCTGCAGCACTGACACTCATTTCTCTGAGTAATGGACAATAATGGAGCAGAATCATCTCTGAGATAAAGCCTGGTAATGGCCTGAAATGGAGTTATGAAAAAGCCTGAGCAGTGGACACCCCGCTGACCCCGCTGACCTCAATGACCCCGCTGACCCTGGTGCAGCTCAGCAGCTCCTCTTCCTCTGTACATTTTCACTCCATGAGGATTACAAACATCCAACAACAATTTGGGTGTAGGACTGTAGGAGGTCTGGTTAAATATATAAATGTATAAATGTATAAATATGTAAACATAAATATATAAACATATAAACATATAAATATATAAATGTATAAATGTATACCTATATAAATATATAAATATATAAATACAGTTTGGTCTTCCAGATACCAGCTCCCTGAAATACTAGTTACCATCAGTTAGTTAACAGTAAGTAACTTTTGCAACATTTTCCTCCTGATACCAGGAAACATCCAGTTACCAGTGGCTCAACACAGCTCCATTTTTCCACTCAACACTGTGTGGCGCTGTTTCCCTCTCTGTCCCTCTCTGGTTATTTGACCCATTTTTATAAAAATAATATAAAATGTTTTCTTAATTATTATTATTTAATATGATCAATATATTGGTTTATATCTGTGTTTCTGATGTTTAAATGGAGGTAATTTAATTAATAGTATATTTAACTATAGTATAATAGTACAGCAGCAGCAGCAGCAGCAGTAGCATTAGCAGCAGCATCAGCAGCAGCAGCAGCAGT